ATTTCTATTTCAGAAGAAATTTAAACTTTGTTCAGAAATTTGTTCCATAGCAATTATTGAAAAAGAGATGAAAAAGATGAAAATGATCCTTGGTTTGAACCCTGCTCTGACTCTGCTACAGGAAAAATGATGAGCAGTTACAACCTCACCCCAATTCACTGTGACATTCTGTCCACTCAGTTAGGAATAAAAAGGGAGGAGTTATCTTTTCTGAAATTTCTAGCTTGCAGAAATTGAAAGATTTTGAAATTGAAAACTCAGTTGGAAGATGTCTGTGGTATGCTAGGAGAAGATGACATCATAGACACTTTTATGGACCGAGTGGTATTTGCAGAAAAATAGAAAGGGAATGCAGAAAGATAGCTATTTTACAAGATATTCAAAGGGATGGGAAAGGAAGAAAAAACAAAATGTGAAAAGAGATCATAGTTGATTTCTACTTTCTTTATTACATCAGTCTTAGACTGTAATTTTGGTGCAATGATTAGGAGATGCCTTTTCTTGGAGCCATAATTACCTAAAACTTGTAGAAATAGGAAGGCAATACATACCAGGCAGTCAACTCTGGTGCCAAATTCTAATTTTCTCTGAAAGTCAGTGTTACACATAACTTGGTATGTATTTTCTCATAGACATCAAGTGTTAAGATCACTCTTAACACTTTACTGAAGGGTAAGAAGATGAAGACAAGGAAGGGGAAAGGGAGTGAAACTGTAAAAAGTTTTAAACAAACAGAATGTTTATACTGCATGTGGGAGGTATTCACATTTAGGAGAAGTAAAGCTAAAGGATATTGTTCTTAATGAATCTTAGGGAAGAATCATGAGTTCCAGAAAGTGAGAGATTTTAGGAAACTCGAGCATTTTTTCTTGAATCTATCTTGCTGGGTCACTTTTTTTCCTTTTAGGTCACACCCAGCTATTCTCGTGGCTTTGCACTCAAGAATTACTCCTGGCGGTGCTTGGGGGACCATATGGGATGCCCGGGATTGACCCTGGGTCGGCTGCATGCAAGGCAAACACCCTCCCCTCTGGACTATCACCCCAACCCCCGAGTAACATTTTTTTGGGTGTGTATTCCTTCTCAGTATAATTATTCCCTTGGACCCTATTGGCTTTGTTTCTGTAACGCACATCTATATTTGAGAAAACCTACAATGGAAGAGGTTGCACTAGACTAGTGAATATTGGGTAAGTAACCAGGAGGAGCATAGTCCTCAGAGGAGGCAGCAGCAATCCAGTGAGGAAGGAAACTCACATGTACAGGCCATGCCTACCCAGGCTTGGAGTGGGGGAAGAAAAGATAAGGAGGGTCTGGGAAGAAAAGACATGGCTTCAACTCCTTAGATATCGTTCTACTAACAACGAGGCTTTCAGAGATAACTAATACCTTCACAGGAGTTGAAAAATATTCACAACCTACTCCTCAGGTCATTAGACCAAGAGAAGATCAAAGAAAAGCCTCTCCCTTGTAGACTTTTAAATGCATTATTGGTGTGGCTTTGATGTTGATATTCCAAACAAGAACTTTTTTTTTTTGCTTTTTTGAGTCACACCCGGCATTGCACCAGGGTTACTCCTGGCTCATGCACTCAGTAATTACTCCTACCGGTGCCCAGGGGACCATATGGGATGCTGGGAGACAAACCTGGGTTGGCCGCGTGCAAGGCAAACACCCTACACGCTGTGCTATCTCTCCAGCCCCTCCATACAAGAACTTGAAACAAGAATAACTTCATATAAAAAAATTCCTTTACTTCATAACAAGTTTGTGTAGTTTAATAGTTTTCACAGCTAAGACTTAAAATTCAAGTGATTTCACTCCAGATTCAAAAATTCAATTCAACTTGACTCCAGAAATTTGCTTTGCACCGGACACTGTAGACACCAATGACAAGGCAGGGTTGCCTCAGCATAGTGACATCAGAGATGGGGGAATGAATGAGATCACAGAGGGAGGTGGTCTTAGGGCTGGTACAGCATCCAGTCTTGAGTGTGCTAATGCACATGGCTTTTTTGCAGGTATAATATAACCAAAATTCTGAAATTAGGAACCATAAAACAGAACCTTGACTCCCAGAACTCAGACCTGGAAAAGGATCTCCTGAGATTACATGAGGAGAATCAGGTTCTTCTCATAAAAATTAAAGAGAAAGATAAAACTGTTCAAAGGTTAGACTTTGCAGTTGATGGTAGTGGTGGGTGCTCCTCATTTAACTGCCCCTTGGGGTGGACAGAAAAGGGGCCAAAGCTTTTCTTCTTTTAAGTAAATTTTGAAATGTAAACTTAATTCTAACACAAGAACTGGGGGAGAACAGGAGTTTTTCAATAAGCTCTATGTAGAGATTATTTTATATTAAATTTCCATATGTGTTTGACATTTTATCATAAACTTTCAAAATCTTGTGTCAGTGGCTTCCCAAGTTGGGGTCTTTCTGAGGTCTGATCCATAACCGGGCGACTATTTTTTCAGCCTGGCAGAGGAGATCACCCTGTCAGGAGGACAGCCCAGGACAGAGAGAAACTGAGCTACTGCATCTCTGAGAAGGATAGAGGCTGAGGGAGCCGAAAGGGCAGGCAGCAAAGCTGGTAAAGGGGTATCCAGGAAAGAACTCTGGGGTGCATTTGGCGCATACACTGCTGTTCTTTCCCGGGGAATCCTCAGTGCTTGGTCATTGCTTTTGTGTCTGTAGAAATCACAGCTGTTGAGCAGAGTGCTTAGGGAAAGGGGCACTTGGCATGAGAACGCAGGATTGGGTTCTCATTGTGGATCTTCAGGAGTGGGCTGGAGGAGGGCAAAGGGCATTTCCTCTTCTGATACCCTATCCCCACACTGTGTGTCGTGGCCCACTACCAGGGAAGGTACAAGAAAAGAGTCTAGGCCCCTTAACCTCTGTCTATTCACAGAATAAAAGTAACAATAAAGGGCTGGAGCAATAGCACAGTGGGTAGGGTGTTTGCCTTGCATGCTGTGGACCCAAGTTCGATTCCCAGCATCCCATATGGTCCCCTGAGCACCGCCAGGGTAATTCCTGAGTGCAGAGCTAAGGGTAACCCCTGTGCATCACCGGCTGTGACCCTAAAAGCAAAAAAAAAAAAAAAGAACAATAAGTAGGAATGTGATAAAACTCCAGAAGAAGATATGATGGAATCCAGGATAGTCTCGAAAGGAGTCTCATGTTTTAAGAAACTCCATAGAGCTAAGACACTGGCCTTGTACACAGTTAATCCCAGTTTGATCCCTAGCACCAGATATGGTTCCCCTGAACCCACCAAGAATGACCCTTGGTGTACAAGAGTAAAGTCTGAGCACCATCAGGTATTCACATCACTTCCATCCAAGCTAAAGGAACGTTCTTAGAGTCCTCCAAACTCCAGGGAAAAGGACAAAGAGCAACCAGCAAAATTGTGTGTTCCTTCACCAGTCACCTATGAAATTTTGGGATATATTTCACCATTATTCTCTGGGAATTAGAGACTGTAAGGAGAGAGAGAAAGGGCAGCAGATGGGAAATGCATTTGTTCTTCCTGCTCCCTAGTTGCCTTGGATAGCGGATACAAATTAGTCTATCCAGTTAGCACAGAGTCAGGCAGCTTCCTACAGAAAAAGGAAATCTGAATGCGAATTAACTCCTATTTTGCTTCCCGGTGACAGTTTCCCCTATAATCAATTCCTGCATTGCATGTTTGCTTGTCTCTCTGCCTTGCTCAGTTTGCAACTGGGGACGCATGGGGGTCAGGGTATATTTTAGGTTTAAAGAAACTCTACAAAGCTTTGATAAAAACAATCCTAAAATGAGAGCTGGAAGAATTAAAGGTGAGTAGAATAGCAATCCTAGATATTTGTCTGGAAGGTGTATCAGTTTGAGGTTTCAGGAGAAAGGACTTTTAAGGATGCCTCCAGGCAAAAGTACATTTGTGTGCCCATCAAAGATGAGTCTGAGCCCTTCATGCGCCTGCTCCCCAAAGCCTGTGAGGCATTCACAGTCATTGGGCACATGGGTGGCAGATAACTGCAAGGCATCATAGTGGAGAGAGTTGTTCCAGCACCTCTTCAATAGAACACACTTGCCCACAGGGAACTGCTATTTCCAAAATGGAAATAAAAATATTCAAAAAGGGAGAGAATATCAACTGGCAATTATTTTGGGATGAGCCAGTGATCCTAATTTTCTAACCCAAGGCTTACAAATTAAGAAAGTGATCACCCCTTAGAGTATTATATTTTATTTCTATGTATTATGTTATATTACATAACCCAACAAAAGCATATCATTTTGTTAATGTTACTCCTATTTATTTTCCCCAGTGACCAGAATAGAGCCTGGTATGGCGTCTAGTGCCTGGATCAATGATCATTAGATAAATGAATGAGTAAACTGGATCAGGGGTCTGGAGCAATAACACAGTGGGTACGGCGTTTGCCTTGCACACAGCCAACCCTGCTTCAATTCCTAGCATCCCATATGATCCCTGAGCACCGACAGGAGTAATTCCTGAGTGCAAAGCCAGGAGTAACCCCTGTGCATTGCCGGGTGTGACCCAAAAAGAAAAAATAAATAAATAACTAAATAAAATTAGTAAACTGGTTGCCCAATAAAAGGCTTCCAATGAGAAGTTCTCTGCATGCAGATTTATCTGGTGAATAAGACGATTTCACTGAGTCCACCATGACAGTTTTCTCCAAAAAAAGAGGAACAGGACTTATCTTTTGTTTTGTGAACCAGAGAGCCTCTGAGTTCACCTGAGAGATAACAGGGAGAAAGAAGCTGGTGAGATTTGGTCAGTTAGACTGGAATAAAAAGGAGAGCTGGGACCACAGACTGAAGCCTAAATGTCAGCCTCATTGTCATTGTGTGGCTTTTAAATAAATTATGCTCTTCTTTTTGTTGCCTTTGTCTCCTCACCTCTGTCTGCCTACCCCACCTCGTGACAGTATGTCCTCAATATAGGAGAGCCACTTCTTTTCCTGCTTTTTGTTCATCAGCTTAGAGGGTGATCATGTTTCATTTGCCTTCCAAGTATATGCTGTTCATTCTCTACCATCACTCGCCGTCTTCCCCAGGGGAAACTGCAAAGTCGACAGAGGTCAGTAGCAAGCAAGAGAAGGATTTGGACAAGGTAGAGACATTGTTTTCTCCGCTGAGGGACTGTCCAGAGTCTAAAAGTGCTGGAGGAGAGGCAGTTGGGATAGAGACGGGAACACTAAGTCAATGATGGTTGAAGGGATAGCTCAGCCTGGGAGATGTGTGTTGAAAATAGATAAAGGACCAAACTTGAAGCCCTCTCAGTATCTGTTTTGCAAACCATAATGCCCAAAAGTAGAAAGAAGGAAAGTGCCTGCCATAGAGGCAGGTGGGGGTGGGGTGGAGGTAGCGGGAGGGATGCTGGGAATGTTGGTGGTGGGAAACGTACACTTGTGGAGAGGTGGGTGTTCGATCATTGTATGACTGAAACTCAATCATGAAAGCTTTGTAACTATATCTCACAGTGATTCAACAACAACAAAAATAGAGTCTAGAGCAGAATTACTTGGGCCTGAGTTGGGAAGGGGCAAGAATGAATTGCCTGACAAAATTTGCCTGACAAAAGGCAGGCAAAAAGGGTTAAAAATAATAAGATGATATTAAAAAATAGCCACCTTGCCTGTTCTTAAATTCTTTTCTACCTCAAACTGCTGTTGACTTCTAAACCTAACTGATCTATCATGAAAACCTAGGCAAACAACTTCCTTTGATCATAATTAGACCTTGCTCTTGAATGATGAGATCACTGATTTGTGAGTTGATTATTTTTCCTTGGAGTTGCTAGGTAACTGCCAAATATCCAAGGCACGGGGGCTGGAGCAATAGCACAGCGGGTAGGGCGTTTGCCTTGCACGCAGCTGACCCGGGTTAAATTCCCAGCATCCCATATGGTCCCCTGAGCACTGCCAGGGGTAATTCCTGAGCGCAGAGCCAGGAGTAATCCCTGTGCATTGCCGGGAGTGACCCAAAAAGACAAAAACAAACAAACAAAAAAACAAATATCCAAGGCACCGGTTGGGACCCCAGAAAGCAGACTGAACTTGGCTCAGATTTAAGTTGCCATATATGTTCATTGTCTTTGCTTCCTAGATAGAGTGACAACCAAGCTACATATCAGCTCTGTAGGACTACATACAGGTACAAGGCTGCTAGTGAAAAGTTAGAAGCAGAGGCAAAATTTCTTTAAAGCCAAAGTTATGAGCTGCTGGTTTTTCATTAGGCTAAAATCTGCCACTGGGGAAAACACCACCTACACAGTGGCAACAAGAACAAAAATGATGTATGTTAGTGCTTTACTTTGTGCCAGCCAGAAGCATATACAGCATTTTTCTCAATTTGTCCAATCATTCCATGGGGATGATATAGTTGAACATAGCTAGTAAGCATCAGAATTGGGATTTAAAACCCAACAAGATCCAGAGAATTCTTCTCTTTTTTTCTTCATTTTTAAAATTGTCGCTTCTTTTTTTATTGTCATATTATCTGTTCTCTAAAAACTTTCTTTATTTTGGTTAAAACAATTTTCAACTTATTTGTGCATGCTCATGCGTGCTATCAGTTGGAATATTGAGAATTTGTCATTGGAAAATCTTTTATTAATGATATTGTAATGAGATATTTAGAAATTCTTGATTATGTTCTTTTTTAAAAATTTCCATGGAAGAAATACCAGGAAATACTGAGAAAGATGGAAAAGGAAATGGAGGTGCTGATTCTTGAGAAAGAAGTGTAAGTTTGACCTCTTACACATAAAAAAGTGACCTTTCTGTTGACCTGAATTGTCATCGCTCTGATCTTTGAAGAGCAGGGCACTTCACAGACTCTTGTTCCCCATAATAGACCCCTCAACAGAAAAGGCAGCTCAGATAGAGAATGGAACACCAAGTAAAGGGTGTTGGGAGGACCCGCTCAGGTTGGGAGATGCTGAAAGCAGACTATTGTCTGAACATGACGGCCACTCAATACCTCTATTGCAAATCACAACACCTAAAAGGAGAGAGAGAACAAAAGGGAATGCCCTGCCACAGAGGCGGGGTGTGAAGGCGGATGGGGTAGGGGGTGGTAGGAGGGATACTGGGATCATTGTGGTGGAGAATGGGCACTGATGGAGGGATGGGTACCTGATCATTGTAGAACTGAAACACAAACACGAAGGTTTGTAAGTATGTAACTGTATCTCACGGTGATTCACTAAAAAATAAAAATTAAAAAAAAATAGACCCCCAACAAATCATGCCTATCAACTTCTGCTCCTCGTTCCAGGCTGAAAACTTATCTGCATTCAGGCTTCTCTCTTGCCCTTCTCTGCAATCAATATCAAAAGGTCTTTCAACACTCACTTGTGTCAATCCTAAAAATTTACTTAACCTAGGTTCAGAAGGGAAGATTACCAATAAAAGCCCAAGACCCCAGTATGCTGCTTCCAAGATGTGTCAATTCCTTTCCCGGATACAACAAGCCTCTACATTGATGAGGTGTTCCAGAAGGGCCCTTTCACCCATGCTCTGCTCTATAGATCTGTGTGGTTCAAGACAATCCTCCTGTCTATTCTTCCCTTCTAGTCTTTGCTGTGTTATATGATATACACAGATTACACAAATCTGATAATAGCTTGAATTTTCATACGTGCAGACACATGTTAACTGCACACAGATGAATTTATAGAATATTAGAGCAGACTGAAAGCAGACTATTGTCTGAACATGAAGGTACCCCTATGTTGACCTCCTTACAAAGTACTTCTTACTAAAAGGAACACAATTCTGACTTCAGTGCTTTTTAATTGTTTTTTTCTGAAATTTGTATCAATTCAGTATGCTGTCTCTTGTGCTCGGCTCTCGAAAAGATTTTATCCCATTTTTATGGTTTGTCATTTTTATGGGGATAAAAGTATCCTATTGCTTAAATTGGTCCAATTGCACAATTGGTCCATTCTACTGTGTCATTTTGGTTATTCCAGCATGGAGCTATTAAGTGACTCTGCTACAAACATTCATATGTATGTCTTTTAGTGAATACATACACTTATTTCTCCTGGAATACCAAGGGGGTGGAATTGCAAAGTATTCACGAGAAAAGCTGTTCTTCTCTGGTGGTCTCCAAGCAGCATCAGCCCAACTGGCATTGTGAGTGACCCCAGGAACCCTGAGTGCCATTGTGAGTGGCCCTATTAAAAATTAATTTTGAGGAAAATCTGAACTTTGGTAAGAGATAAACAATTTTCCAAAGTGGCAGTACAAATAACTCCTCACAAGATAAATTTTTATGCATTTAGCTGCTCTTAACATCTTCACTTTCACTACGTATTTAGTCATTCTAATTTTATTCATTCCGGCAGGGGTATTTTGATTTCTAAATGTGATTTTAATAATGCATTTCATTACTGATCACTAATGATGTTCCATATCATTTCTTAAATGTTTATTGGAAATTAATGAACGTTAAACAGAGTGGCATCTTGAACTCCTGAGAAACCTCAATGAGCTTGGTTATCGTGTGGATATGGTCGATGGTGTTGAATCCTTTGCGGAACCCGGCTTGCTCGCATGGTTGTCCTTCATCTAGTGTTCTGCTAATCCTATTTAGGATGACTCGAGTGAACAACTTGTAGATGACAGACAATAGGCAGATCGGGCGAGAGTTGCCAATGTCATGGATGTCTCCCTTCTTGAACAGTAGTATGGTCCTGCTGGTTTTCCATTGGGACGGAACCTTGCATTCAGACAGGTAGCGAGTGAAGAGCCGAGCCAGTGTATTGATGAGTACTGACGGCAGATTTTTCAGGTGTTCAGGTCTGACCTTGTCTGGGCTGGGTGCTGTTTGTTTCTTTACCAACGAAATGGCGTGTCGGATTTCGGAAGGGAGAACGTTGGGAACGACATATCCATCCTGTGGAATTTGATATGTCGGCAAGTGGACATGGCTATCAAAGAGATTTGAGTAGAAGTCATGGATAATCTTCTCCATTGCCATTCTGGAGGATGTGATGGATCCATCAGGACGTCGGAGGGCAGTCATCTTGGTCTTGTAGTTGGCGAAGGACAGGCGGGCGTTACGAATACTTTTCCCGGCTTCTGCCGCATCTACCAGTACTTCTGCTCTTCTCTCTTTGAGGTCTTCCTTGATCGCATCTCTGCACTGCTTTGCGAGCTCGGATGTTAGCTTGTGGTTGCCTGAGGCATGCGCCAAACCACGCTGGTGAATTAGCTCAAGAGTTTTTGAAGATAGGCGATTTTTTGTGGCTATCTCTCTCTTGGCGTTCCTCGCACATTCATGGAGGTGCTGAACCAGTTGATCGTATTCCTCGTCAATGTTGTCAACAATGGCATCTTCCCATGTTGCTGCAATAGTACCAAAGAGTTCCCAGTTGGTGGTCATTCTGGGAGTTCTCTTTTTGAACTTTGCAGCCCTTTCTCCCCGCTCTGTGAAGTAGAATTTTGCACGAAGGAAAAGGTGGTCCGATCCCGTTCGAAATTTTGGGACAACAGCGACATCAGTCAGGCAAAACCGTCAATTGAATATGATGTGGTCAATTTTGTTGTGGAATCGTCCACCGGGAGACTCCCATGTCCATCGTTTAGATTCTGCCTTCTGGAACTGCGAGTTACCATGAATGGTCTTGGTCGACATGATGAACTCAGATAGTCTCTCACCCTGTTCGTTCCATTCTAGGCCATGGGTCCTGATGTGAAGTTCTTCAGCTGATCTTCTCGGTCCTATCTTGGCATTAAAATCACCCACAATGATCTTGTAGAAGGTGTGGTCTTCTTTATAGAACTTCTCTAGCTCCATGTAGAACTTCTCGATTTCTTTTTCATCATAATGAGATGTTGGTGCATAGACAATGAAGATAGAAACTGCAGGCAGTGAGCCACATCTATTCAAATGTAAACGTCCGGTTCGGGTTGTTAGGCATTCGAGTGAATCAATGCTCTTGGCCAAGTTTGTGTTGACAAGGACACCGACGCCTCCAACACCTCTTTTATCGCATGTTCCGAGGAACAATTCTTCTCCAGTGTCGAAAACGGCATGGCGAGATTCGTGCCTTCTTGTCTCGGTCAGACCGATGATGTTGTACTTGATCATTCGCGCTTGTACCATCAGGTCCTCGATGGATGCATCTGATGCTAGCGTACGTGCATTGAAAGTACAGACGATCATTTTTGTCTTCCTTCGTTGTGGCAGCCTAGGTTGGCCTTGAGATTTTGTCGGCCTCTCCTTTCTCATCCTTCTCAGTGCTGCCATGTCGGCGAAGCCTTCAGGGTCAGGTGAATGAGACCAGTTGTAGTTACTGGTTTTGGCATATCGAATACACAACGGATAGCTTGCCAGGCTCTTCCGTGCGGGCGGAATACTCTCGGTAGCTTGCCAGTCTTTCCGAGAGGGATAGAGGCTTTTGGGGCGACCTCTAATCACCCTTGTAGGTGTTACCATATTTGAACCCTATCAAATACGGTACGACAATTACAGAAGATGGGTATTTAGTGTCTTATCGGCCGCGCGGGTCCGGAAAGCATCCTGAAGTGTGGCGACGGCTGGGTAGTGGAAGTAGTGTCATTGAAGCAGTCATTGAAGCCCTAGCCAATCAGGGCATTCAGGCCCAATACATCAGGATCCTCCATGAGCTATATTGCGGATTCACTACCAGGATCTCACCATTCTACAAAGAAGTGATCGTTGATGTCAAGAACAATAAGACCCCACGAATAGCTAAAGCAATTTTTGGGAAAAAGAAAATGGGAGGAATCAACCTCCCTAACTTCAAACTCTACTACAAGGCAGTAATAATTAAAACAGCATGGTACTGGAACAAAAGCAGAGCTGCAGACCAATGGAACAGAGTTGAATATACTGACATTTCCTCCCAAACATATAATCATCTAATTTTTGATAAGGGGGCAAGAAAAGTGAAATGGAGCAGGGAAAGCCTCTTCAATAAACTATGCTGGCAAAATTGGACGGCTACCTGCAAAAAAGTGGGCTCAGATCTCTGCCTAACACCATGCACAAAAGTAAGATCAAAATGGATTTATGACCTCAACATCAGACCAGAATCCATAATGTTTATTGAAGACAAAGTCGGCAAAACTCTCCATGATATTGAAGCTAATGGTATCTTCAAAGATGTCACGCCACTGGCCGAGCAAGTGAAAACAGAGATAAACAAATGGGACTATCTTAAACTAAGAAGCTTCTGCACCTCAAAAGAAACATTGACCAAAATACAAAGACAGCCTACAGAATGGGAAAGGATATTCACCAAGTACACATCCGACAAGGGGTTGATATCAAGGATATACAAGGTACTGGTTAAACTCCACAAGAAGAAATCACCCAACCCCATCAAAAAATGGGGTAAGGAAATGAACAGAAACTTTCGCAAAGAAGAAATTCGAATGGCAAAAAGGCACATGAGAAAATGCTCTACATAACTAATCATCAGAGAGATGCAGATCAAAACCACAATGAGATATCATTTCACACCACAGAGACTGGCCCACATCCACAAGAACAAAAGCAACCGGTGCTGGCGCGGATGTGGCGAGAAAGGGACCCTCCTTCACTGCTGGTGGGAATGCCGGCTGGTCCAACCCTTTTGGAAAACAGTATGGACGACTCTCAAAAAATTAGAATTTGATCTGCCATTTGACCCAGCTATAGCACTCCTGGGAATATATCCCAGAGAGGCAAAAAGGTATAGTCGAAGTGACATCTGCAATTGTTTGTTCATTGCAGCACTCTTTACAATAGCCAGAATCTGGAAAAAACCTGAGTGCCCAAGAACAGATGACTGGTTAAAGATACTTTGGTACATTTACACAATGGAGTACTATGTAGCTGTTAGAAAAGATGAAGTTATGAAATTTACATACAAGTGGTACTACATGGAAAGTATCATGTTAAGCGAAATGAGTCAGAAAGAGCGGGATAGACACAGAAAGATTGCATTCATCTGGGGAACATAAAGCAACAAAAAGGGAGATTAACACCCAGGAATGGCTGAGATTAGTAGCAGGAATTTTGCTCCATGAATGGAAGGCCAGCCACAGGCTCTAGGTGAAAAGGAAGCTCAGATAGAGAAGAGAGTACCAAATGAAGGGTGTTGTGAGGGCCCTCCCAGGGTGGGAGAAGCATGCTAAAAGTAGTCGATAGACCAAACATGATTGCCACTCAAAGCCTCTCTTGCAAAACACAGTACCCAGAAGAAGAGAGAGAGAACAAGGGGGAATACCCTGCCACAGAGGCAGGATGGGACGGGTCGGGGCGGGGGATGAGGGTTGGGTGGGGGGGATGCTGGGACCCGTGGGGATGGATGACGGGCACTGGTGGAGGGATGGGCACTTGATCATTGTATAACTGAAACCCAAGCACAAAATTTGTAAGCCTATAACTGTACCTCATGGTTTTTCACTAATAAAAAAAGAAAAAAAAAAGAGAGGGGTTCGGCAGGGTGATACCATTTCACCGAAACTCTTCAGTGCCACCCTAGAGAATGTCATGCGACGACTGGAATGGGAAGGAATAGGAGTGAAGATAGATGGTTGGCAACTACACCACCTCCACTTTGCTGATGACATTGTTTTAATAACACCAAACATCAGCCAAGCGGCACAAATGCTGGCCGACTTTGACCGTGAGTGTGGAAAGGTAGGACTACAGCTGAATCTTACGAAGACAATGTTTATGAGAAACAGCCTCGTTCCTGATGCCCCATTCGCTCTCAACGGAACGACCATCTCCGAATGCAACAGCTATGTGTACCTAGGTCGAGAGGTCAACATGACAAATGACCTGGCACCCGAGCTGCGCAGGAGGAAGAGAGCAGCTTAGAACGCCTTCAAGAACGTCGAAGAAATAGCTAAGAGGACGAAGAACCTCCGGCTCCGGGCACATCTCTTTGATTCCACTGTTCTTCCTGCATTAACATAGCCTCAGAGACCTGGGCCCTATGCAAACAAGATGAGAACGCTATTCAGGTCTCCCAAAGAAGAATAGAAAGAGCTATGCTTGGAATATCACGTTTCACTCAAATGAGAGAAAGAATCCGGAGTTCTGACATCCATCGACGATCAACAATCAGGGACGCTGTCTCATTTGCCAAGGTGTCGAAAATCAGATGGGCTGGTCACGTAATGAGATTTAAAGACGACCGCTGGACTAGAGCTGTTACCAACTGGATTCCACGGGATGTCAAAAGACCGCGTGGCCGCCCACCTACCAGATGGTCAGATGGTCAGACTTCTTCGTCAAGATCATGAACGATCGGTTTGAGGTCCTTCATGTTCCCGGAGCAAACGGATGCCATTGGGCAACACTAGCACGCGACAGGGACAAATGGAGACGTTACTGGCGCCCGCTCGAGCAAATCGACGACTAACGGGAAGTTAAGTGATTAAGTGATTATTGGAAATTTACATATCATTTTTGGGTCAATGTCTTTTGCCTGTATTCAAGGGATTATTAGCGCCTTTCTTACTGGTTTATGTAGGAGCTCCTCATTAGTTTGGGGGCCATGTCTCAACATGCTGGAGGTAACATCTGTGTGCTCAAGGGTTGGCTCTGGTTGGTGCTGTGCCTAAGGGCACAAACCTGGGCCTCCTGCATGCAAAACATGTACTTAGCCCCTAAAGCTATTTCTCTTACCTATTCCTCAAATACTTAAGGATTTATCAAATACATTGTGATAATCCTAACCTCCTTTTTCTCACTTTTTTAATGGAATATTTAGATACAACTCTCCTCTACTATGATTCACCAAATACATAAACGTAGTCAAAGGTACAAACTTCAGATATAAAATAATTTCTGAGATTATAATGCACAATATAGTGACTTTTAACACAAGAATTGGCTGAATTTGATGCATCAGGGGCAGCTGAAACACTAGAAAAGAAAAACTTCTGCAATCTTTCTAGACTCAAGAATACTGAAGTCAAGGCTGTGAGAACTGCAGACAGAAAGCAGAGAGTTTGGAATCTCAAAGGATATATCTAATCTTCCCAGATCTCTTGGCTGCCCTCCAAACCATGCCTACTCAGGGAAGTCTGGGCATAACCCAGCTGCAACTGTAAGACCTGAAGTGAGATTTGAACAACCACCAAGAGGCCAACTTTGTAGTTTGAATCCAGCATCTGGGTTAGGTGTGGCTTACACATTGGTTGTCTTTACTCTTGACAATGGATCACATAATCCTAATTCTTTGTCTATTGAGTATGAATTTTGAATGTGAGCATGATGAATGTCTTCTGGGAATTAGGAAATAAGGCATAAATGGTCTAAAACTTAAACAAATGCCTTAGTCAAACTCTCAAAATAACGCTACATAATTCTTGGAGTTCAAATTTGGTTTTGGTTTGTTAATATCTCTTGTCAGTCACTCAAAATATAATACATAATTCTTGGATCTCTCTTTTTTCTTAATCCAGATCCAAAGCCCAAAACAATTCCTCCCAAATAAGAAAACCTGGGTCAGTTCTGGTGGGGGCCATTCAGAGCTACAGGGTAAGTCTTTCCTGTCTCAAATTACAGAACCCTCCACCCAGTCAAATTGCAGCTCCCCACCACATCACTCCTCATAATAACCTCAGAGTTGGGAAATAATAAGTTTCAGCACTTGTTCTACACCAGATAGTCAGCAATTTGCAGCTTTCTGCTGAGGCAGCCCGACTCACTCTGCCCACTTGGACACCCTGCTCTCCTACCTGTGTGGGTGTAAGGCACAGCTGTGACTTTGATTGTTTCTCACAGGAGTAGACATCCGCTAAGAAAGAGAAGAGAACATTCTGGTACCGGTAAGTGGCAGACTGTTGGCTCTTACCTCGTCTCAGCCACATTCACTTTGTAAAAACAAGTAACTTGAAAGGGACATAAACAAAAAGGGAAGCACATACCCATTAATCAGGAAACACCAGGCAGCACCAGACGTCTCACAACCCTTTCAACCCTTCTTGTTTAACACTAGACTTACACAGGTCTTGGTATTTGGAGAAAGTAGCTATGGCAAGAAGAAATCTGTAGGTTGCATTTCACTTTAAAAAAGGGCGGGGGGTAGACCTCTCCTAGCATTACAGTGAGATAGGTGGGTCTCAGTCAGTCTTGTGGTGACAGAGAAAATCAGATCCTGCACTGAAGGATCACTCCTGGTAGGGCTCAGAGGACCATATGGGGTGCCAGGAATTGAACAGGGTCGGCTGCATGCAAGGCAACTGTCCTAACCGCTATACTATTGCTCTGCCCCTGAATACTACTTTTATAGTCATGCATTGTTTGGTTTCTTTCTGTTTTTCAAAGTTTTAAATAAAATCAATCACACAATCACAAGTCATCCTGTTAATCGTCGATTGCCTCCAACAGGCCCCAGTAACGTCTCCTTCATCCTAGCCCTGAGATTATATTCAAGGCTCTTTAGGAGAATGAGACCCATCATTGTTACTGGTATTTGGCATATTGGGTACGCCATGCAGAGTTTGCCAGACTCTGCCGTGTGGGCAGGCCACATTCGGTAGCCTGCCAGTTTGTCCAAAGCCGGAATGAGATAATTTTTGCTCGAGGCCCTCCCGTTGATCGTCGATTTGCTCGAGCGGGCCCAGTAACGTCATTGGAGACTTTGTTGTTACTGTGTTTGGCATATCGAATACTCTCGGTAGCTTGCCGGGCTCTCCGAGAGGGGCGGAGGAATCGAACTCGGGTCGGCCATGTTGGCTGCTTGTAAGGCGAACGCCCTATCGCTGTGCTATTGTTGTAATAGGATGTTGCGCGGCCGCAATTGCGGCCGCGCGGTTCCGGGAGCTGGCCTTTATAGTCTCTGAGCCCTGGCCATTGATGGGATTACATGGCGTCAGGGGGCCAGTTGGTGGGTGTGACCTCCGCCCATTGGAACTTGGAGTATCTGGGTGGAGGATGCTTGGCCCAAATCCGAGTAGGCTTGGAGATCTCGGCCCCGGAACCCGTGTGACTCTGTCCCTCTGCCAGTACCCTCATGTGTGTGGAGAGTGGTCTCAGCATGGTGGTGGCTGGTCCTGGAGGTCTTTGGCTGCCAGAGCCCTGGTCGGGGCGGGGAGGGAAGCCCAACCCTCTCCCCTCCAAGGGGCCCCGGCGAGGACAGCCAGGCGCGGGGGCAGGAGACTGCACTGCTCTCCTCGGGGAGCTGGTTTTTATAGTCTCTGAGTCTTGGCCGTTGATGGGACCACAGGGTGCCAGGGGGCCAGTTGGTGGGTGTGACCCTTGCCTACTGGAATTTGGAGGATCTGGGTGGAGGATCTGCTCGGCCCAAATCCGAGTAGGTTTGGAGATCTCGGCCCTGGAACCCGCGTGACTTGTCCCTCTGCCAGTACCTTCATGTGTGCAGAGAGTGGTCTCAGCATGGTGGTGGCTGGTCCTGGAGGTCTTTGGCATAATCATTTATGCTATTTCCTTCACTATAAAGGCAGTTCTGGATGCATTATTTTTCTTAGTTCTTTTCCTGAAGGCTAACACATTTGGGGGGAGAAGAGGGGATCATTTAAATTATTTGTGCCTTTTCTTTTTTAATTTTTGAAACAGAGGATGACCCTGTGCTTTAACAAAAAGTTTCAAAATATAACAGCTCTGCTTAACTGAGTCTGAATGATTAAGACCAACTTTCAGGGTGGATTTTTTCTTGTGTGAGCATTAAACATTGATACGAACAAGGAAATACCCCCTTTTGAGATGTTCTCTTTTGCCACTTAACATAGGTATAAAATAAGCATAATTGCATACCAACTACCTGAATGGTTTTTTGTTTGTTTGTTTATGTATTTATTTAGTGAAACACCACGAGGTACAGTTATAGACTTACAAATTTTTGTGCTTGGGTTTCAGTTATACAATGATCAAATACCCATCCCTCCACCAGCGCCCATTCTCCACCACCACAGGTTCTAGCATCCCTCCCACCCCCCATCCCCCACATCACACCCTGCCTCTGTGGCAGGGCATTCCTTTTTGTTCTCTCTCTCTCCTTTTGGGTTCTGTGGTTTGCAAGAGAGGCACTGAGTGACAATCATGTTTGGTCTATAGTCTACTTTCAGCATGCTTCTCCCGTGCTGGGAGGATCCTTACAACACCCTTTATTTGGTGCTCCCTTCTCTATCTGAGCTTCCTTTTCCCCTAGCACGTGTGGCTGGCCTCCAAGTCATGGAGCAAAATTCCTGGTGCTAATCTTGGCCACTCCTGGGTGTTAGTCTCCCATTATGTTACTTTATGTTCCCCAGATGAATGCAATCTTTCTGTGTCTATCCCGCTCTTTCTGACTCATTTCGCTTAACATGATACTTTCCATGTAGTACCATTTGTATGTAAATTTCATGACTTCATCTTTTCTAACAGCTACATAGTACTCCATTGTGTAAATGTACCAAAGTTTCTTTAACCTGTCATCCGTTCTCAGACACTCAGGTTTTTCCCAGATTCTGGCTATTGTAAAGAGTGCTGCAATGAACAAACAGGTGCAGATGTCACTTCGACTATACTTTTTTGTCTCTCTGGGATATATTCCCAGGAGTGCTATTGCTGGGTCAAATGGGAGCTCAAATTCTAAGAATCGTCCATACTGTTTTCCAAAAGGGTTGGACCAGTTGGCATTTCAACCAGCAGTGAAGGAGGGTCCCTTTCTCGCCACATCTGTGCCAGCACCAGTTGCTTTTGTTCTTTTGGATGTGGGCCAGTCTCTGTGGTGTGAGATGATATCTCATTGTTGTTTTGATCCGCATCTCCCTGATGATTAATGATGTAGAGAATTTTCTCATGTGCCTTTTGGCCATTCAGATTTCTTCTTTGCGAAAGTTTCTGTATATTTCCTCACCCCATTTTTTGATGGGGTTGGGTGTTTTCTTCTTGTGTAGTTCAACGAGTACTTTATATATCTTTGATATCAACCCCTTGTCAGATGTGTATTTGGTGAATATCCTTTCCCATTCTGTAGACTACCTTTGTATTTTGGTCACTGTTTCTTTTGAGGTGCAGAAGTGTCTTAGTTTAAGAGAGTCCCATTTGTCTATCTCTGTTTTCACTTGCTTGGCCAGTGGCATGACATCTTTGAAGATGCCATTAGCTTCAATGTCATGGAGGGTTTGGCCAACTTTGTCTTCAATGTACCTTATGGATTCTGGTCTGATGTTGAGGTCTTTAATCCACTTTGATCTTACTTTCGTACATGGTGTTAGGCAGAGATCTGAGCCCACTTTTTTGCATGTAGCCGTCCAGTTTTGCCAGCACAATTTGTTAAAAAGGCTTTCCTTGCTCCACTTCACTTTTCTTGCCCCCTTATTGAAGATTAGATGATTATATGCTTGGGGGGAGATGTCAGTATATTCAACTCTGTTCCATTGGTCTACAGCTCTGCCTTTGTTTCAGTACCATGCTGTTTTAGTTATTACTGCTTTGTAGTAGATCTTGAAGTTAGGGAGGTTGATTCCTCCCATTTTCTTTTCCCCAAGAACTGCTTTAGCTATTCGTGGGGGCTTATTGTTCCATATAAATTTCAGGAGTGTTTGCTCCATTTCTTTGAAGAATGTCATGGGTATCCTAATAGGGATTGCGTTGAATTTGTACAGTGCTTTGAGAAGTATTGCCATTTTGACAATGTTAATTCTCCCCATCCATGAGCAGGGGATATTTTTCCATTTCCTCTTGTCCTCTTTTATTTCCTGAAGTAGCATTTTGTAGTTTTCTTTGTACAGGTCCTTTACTTCCTTAGTTAAGCTGAATCTTAGGTAATTGATTTTCTGGGGCACAATTGTGAATAGGATTGTTTTCTTCATATCACTTTCTTCTCTTTCACTATTTGCCTATAGGAAAGCCATGGATTTTTGGGTATTGATTTTATAGCCTGCCACTTTACAATACAAGTCTATTGTTTCTAGGAGTTTCTTGACTACCTGAATGTTAATGTTGGAGATAACCCAGTCATCATCTGAATTTCGACCACTTCCTAAAAATTTGAAAGTAATTAAAATTTTAGAATGCTCTTGAGGACCTTAAGTGGTTGACTGGCCATCCACAAGAGTGACTGTTGCTGACATTTTCTGACAACCCTTAAAAGGTATCTCCACATATAGATCATATAAATAATTCTCCTTGGCACCTCTGACCTTTCTACATGAATATCTATTCTGTTGGGAGACTCAGCTGGGTGGAGAACTATACTCAATTCCTGGCCACTACATTAGTCTTTTTCTGTAACCGTCTGTCCCCTACCTTTCCCCTTAGAGTCCCCATTCTACACGAGTCCCAGTTTTACCCAGAGAGAGTAATTCACTTACCGTTCCTAAATATAGGTCTCACATCCTTTGTTCTGGAGCCCCTTCCCCATGCTAATGATGAAAGTCTCTTTGCAGGCATTTCCAGACCCACATCTTCACGCTCATGATTTCCATGAGGCTCCTGGGCTATATGTTTTTCTACCTGCAGTACCTAAACCCAGACCTTCTTGTGGACACCTTGCCCAGGTTGATGAGCAGAAACACCTTGAAGAGGCTGCAGGACATCTTACGCCCCTTCCTTACTCTAGAGGTAGAAGAAGTTCTGCCACACTAGTACAAGAGACTCAGGAAGTCCCAGTAAAGAGGGGCCGTGCTGTGGCCCTGTGGAGAGAGGAGCCAGGAACTCTTACTCTCCCCCATGTAACCCCTTTGATTCATTCTCTTTCCTTACTTTCTGAGTGTCACCCTTTAAAATGAAAAAAACCATGTTTGATCAGAGTTCACCGTGTCAGTGTGTGAATTTGGTCAGAGGTTAAGCATTCACAGTCCTATTAGGAAAAAAAAACTATAAGAGGAAATAAGAAAAGTTTCCCCTGAATTTCCATTCTCTGCCTCATTCATTTAAAAAAATATCAGAAAAAAACCTGTGTTTCCATTTATTTTATTCTCCACCCACTTTGGGGGCAAGGAAGGAGGGGGCTTGACACAAAGGGTGTTTAAATAAGAGACCACTAGAGGATATACAATTTGTTCATGGTTGATATTTTATTCATTTTATTTTTAAATTTTTTAATAAAAATTTTTGTGTGGTTGATATATATTTTAATAGGATATTACTGACTCCAACAAGTCTCACTTCATGTTCCTGGAGTGAGCAGACGCCATTGGGCTACACTAGCACGCAACAGGGATGAATGGAGACGTTACTGGTGCCTACTCGAGCAAAACGATGACTAACGGGATGACAGTGCCACAGAAAATCTGGTTTCGTGCTTTGTGGTTGGTACTGCTGCTACCCTCAATTTATTACTGACCCCCACTCATTTTTTTTACATTGTACCATGTCTCAAAAGAATGGAATGTTCAAAAAAACCAACCATTTTCACAGATGGTCACTTTCCATTGCAGGAGAAGATTACCATAAATTCACTGCAGTATGAAAGGTGGTGTGTAAAATTATAACTTCTTTAGATGCAGTAAACACAGTTTTGCACCTACTTATATTATTCAGATTCTAATTCAAATGTTCTCTTCCTTGATAGTTTTCCACTCCCTCCTGGCTTGAGAGCCACGCCTGCTTTTCTCCCAATGTTCCTTCTACCTTTCCTGGATTTCCCCTGCCCATTTCTTGGCTTGTGATACCACTGCTGTGTGCCCTATCTGGAAGGTGTATGACCCTTTTTGTCTGTGTGGTCCCACATGGTCCCTAGCTCTGACCTTACAAAGCAGGTTTATACTAAAAGAGATAATGACTACTCAGTCTTTTTCTTTTCTCGGGCATCTGGAGGGTGACTGATGAAACCTTAAGCATAAACCCTGTATTGTGTGAGCTCACTCATTTACTGGTACAGCCTATTGGAAATGAGCCACGGGAAAGGGTGCAGAGGAATATGGTGCAAAACACGAGTCAGCCATAAAGCTGCTGGCACCTTCTGAGTTACTGAACTAAGCGGGGAAGGTGCCTTGACAGCTCCTTACACATTCCCCAAAGTCTGGCTTTCTGGTTAACATATTCTCCTTCCAAGATCAAAAAACATACGTTTTAACTAAATTTCACTTGGGCATCAGTGCCCGCGCTGAAGAGGCACATTGCACATTTGCTTTGAATACAGAACTCACCTGGTTTAATGTTTTCTGTGTGTCTGTGTTAGAAAATATCTTTTAAAAAAATTTTATTGAATCACTGTGAGATAGACACTTATAAAGCTATTCATGATTGGATTCAGTCACACAGGATTCCAACACCCATCCCTCCACCAGTGTACATTTCCCAGCACCAGTGTCCCCAGGTTCCCTCCCATCACCCCCTTCCCCAATGCCTGCCTGCCTCTGGCAAGCACTTTAGGTAGAGCATGAAACTTTTTTAAAATTTTATTTTCATAAGATTGTTACATTAATTGGTTACCTTCAATATTTTGACACCAATCCCACCACTATTACACCTTCTGCCAGCATTATTCCGAATTTTCCCACCACTATTCAAGTCTGCCTGCCAGGGGCAGATGCTAGATAATTTATTTTCTATTGCTTATTATGAATATCGTAGGTTTCGAAGCCACACGCTTCTGGAATTCTAAAATTGTAAATGGTTGGGGTCCAGAGACATCTCTGTAGGAAGCTAATCCATTTTGAGATTCATTTGGGAGTCTCTGGATCAAGGTGGTTGATGCACTGATGTGGCATCCAGAGACAGTTCGTGTGCCTGACAGCCAGGACCCCAAACAGGCAGGGATGGGAAGGTGCAGCCCTCTCTGCTGCTGCCAGAGCGTGAGACTCTTAATGTTTTCTTTTGTGGGGTCTGGGGCTGGAAAGGGTACAAGGTCTCAGAATATGGCCCACAGATGAAAATCTGAACAACACTGCCCTCTTGTGACCAAGTCAAAACTATGGTTTTTCAGCGGGCTTCACCACTAAGAGATTGTAATAGGTACCTTGGTTTTTGCTTATTTCTGGAGCCACACAGTTCATGGGGATCCGGGCTTACTTTTGGCTCTGTGCTCAGGGATCATTATTGGAGGTGTTTGGACAAACCATATATACGTGGTTATGGGAATAGAATCAGGGTCCACCATGTGCAAGGCAAGCGCCCTGCCTGCTATACTATATCTCTCCAGTATGACAAGAACCTTGAAGCAAGAAAGGGGTATCAACTGTCACGATTGGACAGCATTTCTCAACATGTGCCAGTAGTCTCATTTAACAAATGCTTAGTATCTTCTGTGGGTGGGAGAAGTGCTGGTATTACAAATAAACAACCCAGATTAAAAATGGTAGGCATCTAGTAGGTCACTGTCACTGTCCTCCCGGTGTTCATCGATTTGTTTGAGCAGGACCAGTAACGTCTCCATTTTGAGACTTTGTTGTTACTGTGTTTGGCATATCGGATAAGTCACAGGTAGCTTGCCAGGCTCTGCCGTGCGGGCGAGATACTCTCGGTGGCTTGCCGGGCTCTCCGAGAGGAATGGAGGAATCAAACTCGGATCGGCCACGTTGGCTGCGTGCAAGGCAAACGCCCTACCCGCTGTGTAATCGTTCCAGTCCTCTAGTAGGTAGAAGCAGATAATAAATAACAGAGGGCTGGAAAGATAGTATAGTGGGTAGGGTGCTTATCTTGAATAAGGCAGACCCAAATTCCATCTCCAGCATCTCATATGGTCCCCAGAGCACCACTGGGAATGGTTCCTGAGTGTAGAACCAGGAGTAATCCCTGAGCATTGTCAGGTATGGCCCCCAAACCAAAAAATTAATAAATACAGAGAAATAATTTATAACATTAGGTGATAGAAGCCACATTAGTGGGTGAAGTAGAATGAATAGCTCTACTTCCTTCACCATCCCTTTGTTTAGCTCTCTGCATTGGAATTTGAATTGAACTCTGGTTCCCACCAGGAAAAGGGCAGGTAGGCTGTTTACTGGCTGGAAGGATTCCTTGGCCTGAGGGTCCCAGGGGCTGGGTGACTGTATGTGATTGTATGACCAAAATTCTTAGAAAATGACTGATACTGATCAAACAATGGCATACATATTTCTTCAAGGGCTCCTGTGACCAATCCTACAAATCCTCACACTTGAAACTCCCAGCCCTCCCACATCCCGTGACAAGCACAGGGCTCATGCCATCTTTTGAAACTGGCTAGGAACACGCAATTTAGTAAACCATGGACCCATGCACTAGGTAACTCCATCATTGCCATCTGTGACCTTGTGGGGATCTGAAATCTTGAAGCTGTGTTGGAGATCCACATTGCAGAAAACAGTGGCCTAGGACTCTGCCACCCAGAGGGCTTATTTCCAAGTAGGAAGTGCCAGACAGTTCTGCATGACATTCCCCAGGCTGGAAAGCAGAAGGGGTTATAGGTGCTTTAAACGAGCAGGACTGAGCTGGACATGTGGTTTCCAAGTGATGTCACTGGGTCCCACAGATGGTTCATGAGATATGGGGAGGAGAAAAACACTTTCTCCCAATCTGCCTCTACCACCTGGGACCCAGGATTACTGGTTTCTTGTCTCACGTCGCAGAAAGGAATTTCAGGAGTGAAATTACCGTTTTTATTTGGAGTTTTGAAGGGAAGTGGGAAAGAGTAAGTGGGGGAGAGTGGAGAGTAAGTAACGTGCTCAGAAGAGAACCTGGGCTTCTCCAAGGACGGAGAGAAGCCCTACACACATCCCAGCATTAGACATGAAAACATGAAAGTACACATCTCAAGAGGGGAGATGTGGGTGACACATGTGCTCAGGTACCGCATGTGCTCAATCATATGGATGAAGTAATACTGGGGCTCTGGCAGCATATGCGCGCTTCCTTTGTTTAAGGTGGCCTTTATAGGGCTTCTCCAACCTGCCCTTATGTGGGGCTTCTACCTAGGTCAAAATCCTTTGCTAAGGAGGTTGCCTAGGGTGGTAAGGTTGGGAGTGGTGATAGTTTTCTTTGAAATTTCTTTCCTGGTCTTTTTTTCCTTTTGGAGCTTCTGTCTGAGGGGGCCCAGCCTCCTCAGGGTCCTCTGCCAGGTGAGGGTCTTATCAGGCCATAGTTCCTGTTTTCTGCAAGGTTGGCCTTTGCAGCTTCAGAGCTATTACTTCCCTTAAAATTTACTGCCATGGCCTTGGGAGGGGACCTTTCCTATCTGCCTGCTTGCCTACATCACAAGCACTGGAAATTTTTTGGTTTTGATTTTGTTAGGGGGCAACACCCAACAGTGCTTTGGGCTTACTCTGGGTTCTGTGCTCAGAGATCACTCCTGCCAGTACTCAGGTGATCATATTTGGTGCTGGGAATTGTTAGGACTGAGACCACCCCTCAGTATTCAGAGAGACAAAGAATCCAGCAGGATTGTAAACCATACACCAAGACTTTATTATTCCAGCTTGCTGGGGCCGAGACATCCTAACTTTTCATGTCGACAAACACAACAACTCCAAAGGCAAAAGTAACTTACAAAAAGTACAAAGCAAATAAAGGTATACAAAAGCAAATTGTCAAGAAAACAAACATTCCCAATTAAGAAAACATTCTCAGTTCCCATACATCAAGAAAGCATCTTATCATCTAGACATGAAAGTACACATCTCAAGAGGGGAGATGCAGGCATCACATGTGCCCGGCCACATGGGCAC